CAGTTGGAGTGTACAACTCATGAGGGCAAAATCGAAAATATGGAAATCGCGTAAAAATAGTATTGAGCACATGATTACAACCCTGAAAAGCCTACGGCTAAAAATCTCTTCAATGTTGATCAATCAATTAGGTAATCAACGAGAAATTCTGAGGAGAGCTACTAGGAAATATGGATAATAATTCCAGCTACAAAGCAAGACCATGCTGGAAGTGACTGGGTTTGATTCCCGGTCCGGTCTAGGAATTTTTCGGGTTAGAAAATTTCTCGACTTCCCTGGGCATAGAAGTATGATTGGACTTGCCACACAATTATACCGATGCAAAAATGGTACAGGCATCGAAAGCTCTCAATTAATAACTGTGGAAGTGCATCTAGAACACTAAGTTGAGAGCACGTAATAAGCTTATATGCGATAAGCAATAAGCATGAAAATGCGAACAAGAAAAAGAAGAAGCAGAATAAGAACAAGAAATAATAAGAAGTGTTCCAAGAGATTCTGAATAAATTTCCAAGGAAATGTAAAGAAATTTTCAAAAGAATGCCAATAAGGGCTCGAAATTCTGGGGAAATTTTCTATAGAATTCTGAGGAGAAATTCATGGAAATTTGGAACAAACATTACTAAATTATAAATGACATACCTAGAGATTTCCGAGGAATTTTCAAAGCGGGTTTGAAAGAAAATCGTGGAGATAAATTAAGAGTGAATTTCAAGAGTTTTCTGGAAAGAATTCCTTAATTGTTCTTCAAAGACATCCGAGATTTTTATGGAGAAAACTTCTTGGGAATACCAGACAAAATCATAAGATTATTGAGAGGACTCCTGAAAGTAAAATATATTCTGCAGACTTTTTGCAATGATCCTACGCAAATTCTTGACAAATTTGTAAAGAGATCCTAAGATGAGTTCCTAAGAAATAATTTAGTAAATTCAAATATTGAAAATTTTACAAGTTTCCGTGCACAGAAATTCAACATCAAGGATTAACAAAAACTCTTAACCGGTTGTGTTGTGTGAGAAAGACGACGGTAGAGCATGAGTGTACGATTACAAACAGACTGTCGCGCACGACAAAGAAGCGAGTGTCGTAAAAAACGTCAACTGTTTCAACCTCTGTATGCAGCATTTAAGGAGCAAGATGATTCAGAAACAACTACCCTGTTTAAATCAAAGATTTAAACACGATTATTTAGAATCCAATGAATGAATAAAACGTAGACATCTCGAACCGTATGTTCCGTTGTATTGTTATTTATAAAAGATTGGTCGTTGGGAGCATCTAGTTAAAAAAAGTTAAGTGATTCTCCATTTTCCCCGGCTATTTCCAAACTAGTTCAAAAACTCTTCAGACCCATCACGATCACGAAAAGGAAAGTTTCAAGTACAAAAAACATCAAACGTCTAAAACCAAAAAAAAAAAAACTAGGACGACTCTCTTGCCGAATTAACTAATGGACGAATCCGTGCTGGAACTTGGTTATTACCACTTGTTCCCAACCTTTTAATAATAGCGCGTTTGTTATTTGACTTCTCAACAAATTACAGCACGAAAGCGGCTCTTTAAAATGATGTCTAAGCCTAAGTTGCAGAAACCGAAACAGGTAAATAAATAAACAGCATCAAACTCACCAAATCAACGATGGTTTGCCCGTGGAGCAAAAACTTGAAAGGTTGTTGCATCTCCTAATTAATTCAAGCTCAACATTTCACAACATTCCATGGGATCTTCAAAGAAACTCTTGCACAATCCGCTTCCAATCAGAAACATCGGACCAGCCTGCCAATTGCCTAATAACAGTTCTGACGAAAAGGATACTGATAAAAAAGAAGTTCTATCCAAGACACGACCGTAGATTTGACGTTGGTTTACGTGCTCGGTATCAATATTCGGCGACTGTGTTAGGGAAACCACGTTTTTCCCATCACGGAAACGTCTGATTTTTTATGACAAAATTACGGAACCTGGAGAAAAGCCTACCTTAATACGAAGTGGTTCTAGTTAATTGACAAGGTCATGTGGTATTTGGTCATTGCGAGAATTTGTATGTACCTGTGTGAGCTTTGGGGGTGGCAGCAAGACGAGCGTTCAATAAAAATTTACTCTTATGCAACAATAATGGTGGTCCTGAAAATAACCGTTTTGTCGTGATGGTTGAGTAATGCTGAGCTATTGGGGTTTTCAACACGGTTGAGGCTGGCGAGCTATATGTTGTTTAGAACGAGGGTGCCGCGCTTGGCTAAGATGGCCCACAGCGACTCACGAAGAGCTACTGAATCCGATCAGTAGCGGTGAGGCGTCTTCCTCCTTCTTCGGTGAATGGACGCTCATGTGGACTGCAGCTCGCTGCTTGCTGCTTCAACGCCACGCACCGAAAGCTGCTGATGACGACCCACCGGACACCACCACACACGGCGATCGAATAAGCACCGATCAGGGAACGCGCTTTTTGCAGGCAATCAGTGATAATTTTGAGCACCATTGCAACAGTTGGACATTTGTGTAATTTTCAATCGTGACCTATTGAAAATTGATATATTGTTCTTTTAAGCAGATTCCAGGGTGGCCAGTGAATTTTCATTTCGGAATTCCCGGTTTTTAAGGTTCAAAATTTTAAAATTTTCGTGTTGTTAATATTCAACTAAAACTGAAAGGAATTTACTGAAAAGATAAAAAAGTGATTTAAGAGGATTCCCAAGTTTCTGGGACATTGAAATTAGGGTACGGTCTGAAACAGTCTTTGTGATACAAGATTTGGAGATAAAATAATTAAAATGTGAGATTTTGAAAAAAATTTCAAGATCACAGATATGAAAAAAAATCATACTTATGAGTCGTGGAGTCATAATTGTCAAGGCTCTGAGACTTGCAAGCATTATAAGGGTTATAAGACATTACAGAACGATTGATAGAATCTTGCAGGCAAACCCTGGAATATTTAGTAAAATTTAAAATGTTGATTTCAAACAAATATTGAGGAGGATTCCCGTATAATTTTCGGAGGAGAAGTTCTGAGCAGAATTCCAGAATTATATTCAAGTTCTGAATTAGAAATTGTAAAATGTGCATTAATTAAATTCTTAGGTAATTTATGAAGAAGTTGAAAAAAACCTTTAAGAAAATTCCTACGTGATTCTGAGGAGATTTGTATGAGCATCGTAAGGAAAATGGCAGATGAATTTTAAGATGAAAATTCAACAAGACACAGAGTTCTAAGAGTGCAACTCTAGTGTCATCACAGAGCTCCAACACTAATTTACAGTATATTTGATGTACGCTGATGGTCATTTCTCATGTTAATTGTGTGCTGAATCCAAAAATATTGTCAGAAAAAATCACAGTAGAATAGTTTTCTAGATACAGCTAAAAATGAAATTTCACCTAATAAAAGTTTGTTTACTAAAATACAAACATCTCCGGCTGTAATGATTTTTTTATCAATCAATTCAATCAATTATTTTAATGCCAAATTAAAAGTGAGAAAATTTACTTTCGATCAACTGCATACTATTTTTTAGTGAGGTTACTGGTATTGTTGGCACAACCACTACAAACATTTGTATTTACCTTGCTAACAAACTTTGCTGAAATCAAATTTTCTTTGAGATATGCAAAACATAAAAAAAAAAAATCAAGCAAACTATTAATTAACAACAATGCCACTAATCTTTCTGACGAATGATGTTCAACTGATCGAAAAAAATCTCTGGCGTTCTATTAATTGATAAAGCTTCATTACAGCCGGAGATATTTGTGTTTTAGTAAATGAAGGGTCCAAAGGGTTTCTAAATAAAATTTCGAAAGATTTATGCTGCTTTGAAAAGAGTTAACATAACATTTTGAAATGAATTTCAAAAGAATCAAAATCTCTGTTCAATGGAATCCTAAGAAAGATTCCAATCAAGTTCTTAGAAGGGTTTTCTAGGAAATTCCAAAAAGAATTCAAAGGTAACTAATACGCGGAGTGTTTTCTGGTTAATTTCAGAAGAATTCCATGACAATTCTGGAATTCATGTCATGAGAATTTTGAATAACGAAAAATTAAAACCCCGGAAAAGAATAGTTCAGTTTTGGATTTTCCAAATATTTGTTTCCAAAATCCAGCATCTTCAATATTTTCTTCTAAGGCCCATGCACTTTACATCTGAAATTGAAGCGACAAAAATCAAATTGTAATTTTGCTGAGTGATTTAATTCTAAAAACAATAAGGCGGGAAACTGAAGGAAATTATGCAGCAAAAAGAGCACGACATTTATTTGATAAAGAATCACTCTTTTTTATGGTTAATTTTGAAATTCTGGTGTAAAAAATTGTTTCTATGGTATGGGTAATTTATTTTTCCCGGTTCTTCCATCGAATTCCCGTTTTTTCCCGGTTACCTTTCATACTCCCGGATATTTTCCGGTATTCCCGATTTTCCCGGTTCGCTGGCCACCCTGTCGTAGAAAGATTTCCAATCGATTGGCTTGCTTACAACTAAAATTTATCCGCTATCGACTTAGTTATAAGTGGTCAAAACTTAACCACTTTTCGTAGCGCGGTTGATTTTTTTTTAATTGTACTTCCAATATGTTGCCGAAAGATGTAATCCTATGTCAAAAACACTTTGGAATGCATTTCACACGATCGCTTGTGCAAAAGTTCTTTTCTAGAACTATGTTACCGAGTGGCATATTGTTTCAAGCTACAACGCGATGAAAAAATCAATTTCAGAAAAAAAAATAAAAACCAAAAGTTACAATCGGAAATTTTGTGGGTCCGTACAGAAGCAGAGCACACTTTGATCCTTTACGGCATATCTTCTATACAACACTGTAAGCGAAACTTTCATCTCCCGGTTGCATGTAGTTATTAAGATTCACTTTCAAATACGGAAAATACGAAAGCTGCACTGTTCAAGACAATATAACCTCAAAGCTAATTCTATTACTAGCCCACAGTAGATACACCATTCCCACTGTAAGATACAGGAGAGCGCGAGAGTAGGAATCATCGTGTGCGGGTGGTTCCAGCAAATCTCTTTCAGCTGTAGGGTAGTTTCGTGAGTGCACGCGAACACACGCCAACCATAACATGTAATACGCGGCACAAGAATGAATCTTCCAATGACACTAGGATTCTCCGCTCGTTTGTGCTACGTTCATTCATCCAGTGGGGTGTTGGTGTGAGATCATGGGCAGCAAAAAAAATCACACAAGTTGGAAGCATCGAACGGCCACGACCGAGAGAACCGCCAACAGACACAGAGAATCGTGTGAACCGTGTGGAAGTAACTGCGGAAAAATTGTACTGCGAAAATCTCACATTTTTGTTGTTGTTGTTATTATATCATCACATCACACAAATCACAAACAGCGCAATATAACAACGGTCGAAGTGAAAACATATTGTACACGGCGGCGGATACAAGTGTGGTTCGATTTTTCAAGGGTTTCCTCAGTTTGTTAGGGCATTCCGGGATTGCGTTTATTTTCGGGAAAAGCTGGAGCAGCACGCGAGCTGCTAGTTCGGATGAAGTATTCGACGGGAATGACGGCGTGAATTCTCGTGAGGAAACATGGCAATGTTCGGTGGGAGTCATGAGGCGATAAATGGATGTAATCAGACACGAAAATACTGCCTGCCCATAGTGGAGAGATAATCTACATCGGATGTTGCACGGGTAGCTTTATTAAACAAGAAGTAACATCAGAAGCTGCAGGAAAAAAAAGGTCGAGCTAAAATGGCCGTCGAGTAAAGTGCGGTCCGAGAGTAGTAGAGGTCGCGTGAGCTATTGAGTTCGAAGAAAAAGAGGTGAGAAACGTGGCTCTATCGTTTATCCAGGACAATCTCCTCCGGTGTCCTCTGCGGAGGTGTTCCTTGCGATGTTCCTTAGAACGGAGCCCCCATCATCGTTCGTTCGTTGATGCGTAGATTTCGAGGGAAGCATATAGACACGCGCGAAAACAACCCGAAAGCAGGAGCGAAGCAGCCAAGTAATCGATAATCAATAAACGGAGACCCCGTAGCCGAAAAAAAAGAGGAAATACATGTACAAACGCCAGAGCACCAAAATACGCATTTAGAATTATCTCGCACATCCCACTACAGCTCCAGCTGCTGCTCGAGTTCGGCTTCGACGAGGAGAGGCTGCAAAAATTCGACGATACCGGGAGTTCGTCGTCACACAACATCCAGCGAAGCGAGTCGTGCTTTAGGCAAATGTTTACAAATATATCGCATCCGATTCGAACCGTTCCGATACGTACATTTGCGAAAAAATATGCCGTCAAAGTTAGACAGTGAGAAAATCCGTTCATCCCCCTAGTTCTTTAGTACGCTAAACAATACGTAGAGAGGTAGAGAGCGAGCGAGCGAGTGGTGATTGCGTCGCTCAACGGCATCACACCGGCCCTTATCAGTACGTCTCGTCTATATTGCCCGACATAAAATAGCAGCAGAGGAATAACTTAGCAGTACGCCTCTCTCCAGTTTAGGCTCGTCGAAGCGATTTAAGTTAAGGAAATAGTGAACCCACTTCAACTCTGCGGAGCCACCGTTCTGCACCCGAAAAAAAACGTGCTGAATCTGTTATCTCGTGAACATTCGCTCCGGGAAGTTTGTTGTGTTTTCTGTCGTCGAACAAAAGTCTAACAATCTGTTACCAACGTGTCGTATCGATTGTTGCCCTACCTACCTTACCTACCTATCTACCGACGAGCGGTGAAGAAAAAAAATATACGAAACAAAAAAAAATATTCGATTAAAAGATAAGCGACAACCTAAATAATTCATATATATATATTTGTATATATATTCAACAGTGGGAGGGTGACCGACAGAAGAAGTGAAAAAAGTACGACGGAAAAAGTGTGTTAATAACTGTGATATTACGTAAAGTAAGGCAAACACGAAAGAACGAAGGAAAAGCGAGAAAACCGACCAGAAAAAGGAAATTTTTTTTTTCGTCGCGAACACACCAGAAAGCCGCAACAAGCCGGAAAGGTGTGACGACAGCTGGAAGAGGCAAGTCGTTAGAGGTGGTGGCGGAGGGTGGTGGTAGTGTGAGTGTAACACGCACCGCATCGCTTCGCTCCGTCCAGAGATCCATTTTCGTCGTCCCAAGGACGTTGAACCGTCCTTCTCCGTGCAGGATCATCGAAGACGGGCCAGGATTGATCACGCGCGCCACGACTGCCACACAAGCAGCGTAAATGGTAATTGTTAGTTCTTTATGTATCTACTTGTAGGTGTAGTTTTTTTTCTTCTTCTATTATCCCACTCTCGATGGGTGGTAGAATTATGTAGTGTGTAGAAGGAGGAAATGCGTGCCAAGGATAGTGCGTCTCCACTGGCTCGCCCTTGGCGATGGCAGCAGCCTGGCAGTAGCAGAAGTGGGCTGCTGCCCCGTTTGGTATGGAATGATGTTTACAGGTTTTCAGGTTGACGAGCGCGGGAATGACAATTACGGCAAATTGTGACCGATTAACCGGTTATCGGCGTACCGGATCTGGGTTGCACCAGTTCTTGGCTTGTTTGGGAACATCATAAAATTTAGAAGGAGGCTATCGAATTGATTTGAATTCAGATATCCAAAACAAGTTCACGGGATTCCTTTAGTAAATAATTTGAGAGTGGATGAATAAGAGAATAATCTGAATCAATTGCAGTCATGATTTAGGGAAGTCTCACACAAATTGCTCAAAAAATAAAAATAAACTTGATCTACGAAAGCTACTGAAAGTAAATAAATTACGACTTCCTGTACAGAACAGAAATCGAACTTCGAATCCAAAAGAGGTTCCATCTCAAGTAACGTTTTAAGTTTTATGAAATACTACAAAGCTACTATAAAACAACATTCATAAAACCCTGGTCAAGACTGCATTGCCATTGATGCATCCGCCAAAACGTCATTGATGCTAGAATCTGTTTAGTTGGCCCACCCTGGAGAAGGTTCTGAACGATGCATTTTCGAAGTTCTTCAAGATTGATTTACTGCAAAATGGTTGCATGACAAACGCATTGGGAACCATTTCAAAACCGACTTTAAGCTACAATAAAAGCTATTTGGCAACAATTAAAACCATTATCCGATCCATTTACCCTAGCAGCTTGCTAAGTCCACTAGAAAAACAACATTCAAGATAAAAAAGGATTCATAAATACCACCAAGTTATTTTGCTTTCAAGATATCCGTAACAAATTCATAAGGTTTTGAAATGGCTTTTATGAACAAAACTTGTATTTATCTAAAGCCATTTTGCTTGATCCTGATTGCTTAACCCGTTCAAATTTATGGCAGCATTTATGCCTACAAAATGTTAAACGTCAAAGTTTGTTTATCTTTACAAGGTGTCGACTCAATAAAGAATATAAAATTCCCTGATATTCCCTGATTTTCCAGTAATTTTCCAACAAATTCCAGTTGCAGTGTCTACATGGTTTTGTCAACACGATCTCATCAGCTATTACTTCCCTCAGATATGTATTACCCAACAAACAGTTCTAGCTGCAGACCAGCCTATACAGGCACAAATTAGATGCAAAACTTAATTTTTCGGTTGTATCAGCTAGTCTGCAGACCAAAATTGTTAGTTGGGTAGTGCTTTCTGGACATTTTTTCATTAAATACCACATGGACCTCTAACCCATGAAGAGTGGTCCAGTACAATCTCAAATAGAATAAAGCGTTCGATATATTTTATAGAATGCAAAAAAAGACAGAACTTGCATGTTGCCAAAAACGGGAAGGCACCACATTTTTTTTAAATTCACAAATTGTAATCGCTGTAAGCGCCTGGTAAGCAGTTCAATCCATGATTAATGGCGAAGGAAACTGCAACCATCTTGATGTTAATCTACAAACAAATCTTGCTTAATCGCCTAAAATTTTCAACAAGTTTGCTCGATTTACTCCATGATATGAGAAGAGATCCTTGGCATGGCGATTTTCTCACCCATAGAAGCAGTGTTGAAAATATTCACCAAATTTCACTATGGCTCGCGTTGTTGAACTTCGTGAAATATCGTGAACTTTTTCAACCCGGCTTAGAAGTTCTTTTCTGACTGTTTCTGAACTCAACGCTAGGGGAATCTTACATATGAAACACTTATCTTTAATCCCTTGAGCACAATTTTAGACCCAGCTTCGCAAGAAAATTATTCCGATTAATGCGCTTAACCAAACGCTAATTTGCGGCCAGATTCCTATGGTGGGAAATCGTAAAAACAGCGCTGTCACCTTTCACTGAGAATCTAATTTTCCGAGCTGATCAGATTTACAATGAAGACCTAGAATACTCAATAAAGCCACTCTATTCTGTAGAGGCAATGCTTGTCTACGTTTCTTTGAATCATATTTCAATCATAAAAGTGCTACTTCAAGCATCAATGACAAAAAATCCACCCAAGCAAGACCATAAATTTTCATTTAATTTATTCTCTGAGCTAATCAGGCTGTTTAGAACACAATAAGGAACAGGAACTAGGTTTTCAGGTGTTCAGAAACAAAAATCATCCTCTTCTCTTAGCTCTATACTCAAAAGCGCTCCAATGCACCCAAAGGATCAAAGTCAGACGCAATTAGATGTAACATCTACTAAGAGACCAACAAATACATACAAATTTGGATGTTAAAGTTTGCAACAACTAACAATGTCTTGTGTCTACGGAAATGGATTTTTATCAATCCTCAGGATCTCAGTTCAACTCAGGAATGTGTCAACATCCAGCTGAATTTATATTAGGCGCCAAATCATCAAAATTCCCTTTTATTTGAGTAATTCTTGCTCAACTTGCAAATATGCAACATCAAGCATTGATCAACCACAAATTCGCAACTCTATTTAAAATTTGGAATGAACAACCATCTTAAAACTACACCGAGTAATCAATTTGCAGATTTTGTCATACTTCTGTGATTAAGAAATATTTCTCTGAATTTGATTGAAATTTCCTGAGATTCCCTGATTTTCCAGGTCCAAAAATGAATTCCCTGATTTTCCAGGTAGTCGACACCCTGCTTTAGATAGTTGCGCTGTGCGATCCAGCGTTCTTCCAGGCGATTCTCTCCCGATGGGTCTGGATGACCCTTTCGCCGAATAAAATCGCTGCTATGGATCGGAAATTAACTAGCGTCCGCTAACTGACAGTTTTAGTGGTTTGCTGTCGGTACTGATGCAAGTTATTCCGATCGTCATCTATTCGCAAGGTCTGGAGAAGGCTGGTCTGTTTTCAGACTGTTTTGACAATTTTTAATGAATTTGAGGACCACGCTCACTTCACTCTTCTCCACCGGATGATCAGTCGTTGCTGGTACCCGTTCAGTCAGACGTGCTTGTTCTTCTAAAGAACTAAATTTTACTGAAATCCACTTCCCTTCGGTCGTTAGCTTCGCTTGAATTTTCCATCCTACTTCGTTTATCCTTCGAGATATTCTTGTCATAAATTTGGCTTTTATTCACAATGACAGTGAATGTGTAGTGCTGATGCGATATAATAGTAGTGACTTTAGTGACTAAAATTACGGAAATAGTCACCAAATAGTGACTTGTAAATACTAAATAAGTAACCATTTATATGGTAGCTTAGAAATTCAAATACGGTTTGACATTGAAATAAACTTTTTATGTCATGGAACAATAATCAAATTTCAAAAATTGCTCTAATTTAATCGAATTACACAACGGAATCTCCTGTGAAGAGCATTTGAAGTGATTTGAATAATTTATTTTTGTTTACGGTGCAAATAGTAATTCCTATTTTTTATGATCTTGAATTTGATTCTGCGTTCAAAATCTTTAAATAGTTGATATATATGGGTAGATAACTTTGATAATTTGGTATGAACTTTTCACAGAATTTCTTCAGAATGATCTCAAGAACTTTTTTCGAATAATTCCCTTTCTCTTAAACTTAGAGGCACATAAGCTATTACAAACATAATATTGCATTCTTGAAATTATTTGCAATTAACAAAATTCTTGGAAATAGATTATTTTCGTAGTTGGAAATGCTTAACATCAAATATCATGAAGAGCTTTGAGTGGGTTGGTTTATTTCCTTTAAATTCCGTTATAATTGCTTATCTTTTGACAGATACGCGTATTTCATCTACCACTTGCAAAGTTCATCAGTGCCAAGTACTCAACACCACTGAAGAATCCATTTTTTATCTACGAGTTATATACTAATCAATAGGTACTAAAAATCAGCAGGTATCCACTGCCATGTCAAAATTTACCTAACCAGGTACATAAATTCAGTCTCCAACAGGTAGATGCATGCTACGATGTGTTGTTTTAGGTAACATGCCAAAGAGTCTCGAGTATCCGTTTCCTTGATCTATTAAGCAATGTTGATGGATTATGTTTTGTCCTATCAAATATCAGAATTAAATTGGACTTTTCATACGATAGATGAGGAGATGAAAGTAAGGAGTTTATTGTTCCGTTATACGCCACACTATTTGTATATAGAAAGTAGAAAGCGAACAAAGGACAATTTTGAGGAAGGTACGAAAAGGGTAGAGCATCTCCTTTACCAAGCTCATCCGGTAATGAGGGATGGTGAGGGGTGTTTCCCCCTGCCACCATTGGCAAAAGGGATGATCACCGATTTGCTCATGTACCTCTGATGTGCGGAAAAAGTTCTATCAATTATTTCACACTCAAGTCGCCATATGACGTAAACAACTACCCGATTCGTACCTTCCTCAAAATTGTCCTTTGCTCGCTTTCTACTTTGTATATACAATTTTTACACTGCTAACACTGCGGAATTGAATTGATAGAATTGATACTATAATTTAATCTCATCATCTATCGAATAAAATCTCCACTTTAAGTCTGACATTTGACGTTAAGCATCTCCGACTATGTAAATCGTTAAATTCACGCATGAAGTAATAACACATGATTAGTTAAAGTAGATTATTTTCGATTTTTTATTGATTCTTCTAGGAACTCCCTGAAGGCTCCTTCCATATATTCATTTTAAATTTATTTGAATTCTACTTAGAATTTCAATTAAATTAACCTCAGAAATTTCATAAATTTCTGCTTAGAATAATCTTGGACTTCTCCCCTGCATTCAATTGGAAGTTCAATTCGTATTCTCCTTAGAATTCCAGCAGTATGAAAATTGAATAGAAGTTGAAAATGAGCGAAGGGCCATTAAAGCGACAGTTTACAAGATAGACGCACATTTTTGCCTAGCCCGT